TTCAACACCGCCAGCAGCTCCAGCACGAGGAGCACCCCAAGGCCGAGCAGCTCCAGTACCTCCAGTATGAGCACCTCCGGGACCCGTGGCGCTAGCACCCTCAGCAGCAGTAGAACCTCCAGCTCCAGCAGCACCTCCAGCTCCAGCAGCACGGCTCCAGCGCCGGGCAAACCACTCGCGGAGCTCCTGTGGAGAGGGTAGCTCCCGCCGGGACGAAGCACCCGAAGGACCTCTAGACCCAGTACCGCCAGACTCCACACGAGCAGGCCCAGCACCCCCAGTCTCAGCACCCCCAGGCTTAGCACCCCCAGACTCAGCACCCCCAGGCTCAGCACCCCCAGACTCAGCACCCCCAGGCTCAGCACCCCCAGACCCCGCACCCGCAGGCTCAGCACCCCTAGCAGCACCAGAGTCAACAGCTACCTCGACAGGCTCGACTGCGTCTACCTGGGACACACCTTAGGGGGCAGGACCCTGAGGGGGAAGGGGGTCTACCAGGGGGGAACTGGCGCAAGGAAGAGCTTCGGCGGGGGGAGGGGTGTAGTGCGGTAGGGGAAGAGACGGTATTAAGGAACCGACTCGTCAAACGTGACGTCCTAGGAGGACAGAACACGGCGCGAGGTGGGGTGGTAAAACTGCCAACCAGGCGCGTCAAGGGGGAAGCAAAGGAAGACGCAGGGAGCAGCACGCGGGGACAGCTTGTCCGCAGACAAGTCGCAGACAAAAGCTCGAGATCCCAAGACACGGAACGCTGACGCATCGCCAACCTTCCTCGTCCACCGCAGAGTAGGGGAGGTCTCCGGCAAGGAGACCCGGGGCTGAAGGTTGATCTGATGCGCCGCGTACTGAACCGCGAACGGCCACAAAAAATGGGGAGCAGCCGCATGGATCATGGACGTACAAGCAACGTCCATGACCATGCCAATGCGGCGCTCAGCAATCCCATTTTTCTGTGGAGAGGCCGGAAGCTGCCCGTCGCGCCCTCTTATGGCCCCTCGCGGCCCCTCCCACGGCCCCTCGCGGCCCCGTCGCGGCTCCCTTGCGGCCCCTCGCGGCCCCTCGCGACCCCTCGCGACCCCTCTCACGGCCCCTCGCAGCCCCGCGGCCCCTTCTCAGTCGCTGCTGCCCCTCTCACGGCTCCCTCGCGGCCCTTCGCGGCCCCTCGCGGCCCCTCACGGCCCCTCTCGCGGCCCCTCACGGCCCCTTCGCGGCCCCTCCCGGCCCCTCGCGGCCCCTCGTGGCCCCTCTCACGGCCCCTCGTGGCCCCGCTCCTTCTCAGCCGCCGCCGCCCCTGCCCTGGCCGCAGCAGCCGCCGCCGCCGCCCCTGCCCCGGCCGCACCAGCCGCCGCCACCACTGACAGCAGCACCCGCAGCCGCCGACGGCCGCAGCCGCCGCCGCCGCCGACACCAGCAGCCGCCGCCGCCGCTGCCGTGTCAGCCGCCGCCGCCCCTGCCCGCCGCGGCACCCTGGCCCCTGGAGCAGCCGCCGCTGCTACAGCTGCCCGTGGCCCCTGGAGCAGCCGCCCCTGCAGCAGCCGCCCCTGGCCTCTGGAGCAGCAGTCCCTGTAGCAGCCGCGGAGCCCTTGCCCTGCGGTGGTAGCAGCCTCACAATTGCCGATGTCGTACTCCTGCCCTTCTTGCCACTGGTGAGCTCTGCTGATACTGCTGTTACTGCTGCTCTTGCTACTACTGCTGCTCCTGGCGTGGCCAGATACAACTCCAGCGCCGTCCGCGTGAGTCCCTCGCCCCCCATCAGCTTCGTGAGTGGTACGCTAGTTGGGGTTGTAGGGGTGGCCGCACTGCTACTGCTGCCACTGCGGCTACCACTGCTCCTGCTGCCCCAGGCGGTGGCCAGATGCAGCTCCAGCGACGTCCGCGTGAGTCCCTCACGCCCCAGCTGCTTCGTGAGTGGTATGCTACTTGGGGTTGTTGGGGTGGCCGTAGTGGGAGTCGTCCTGGAGTGAGTAGTTCGGCAGCTGCTTGTAGTGGCCTAGTGCAGCTGCAGCGTCGTCCGTGCGTGGTCCTTTCGCCCCAGCAGCTTCGTGAGTGGTACGCTCAGCGTGGCGGGTCACGGGGTACTGCTCGCTGTCCATACGTCATTTGCACTGGTGCTCGGACTGGTCAACCTTGCGGGACGTTTGGTCACGCAGAGTCCCGCTGCTTTGCCTGTCTAAGAGACGCCTGGCGTACGGAGTTTGGCGACGCATCTGAGCTCCCCGACTGGGTGGAGCTGCTTAGGCTGCGAGTAGATATCTATACTCTTGACTATGATGCTATCCTCACAACCATGTATGCATTGCCTACTAGTGATGAGGGTGACTGTTACCTGTGTGTTCCGCCTGACCCGGGCATTGAGGCTGCTCCTCTAGGTGCTGGTGAGGCTGCTCTAGGTGCTAGTGCGTCTGCTGCCCCAGGTGCTGGTGAGTCTGCTCTCTCAGGTACCACGTCGGCTCAGGCCTTACACACCTTCACCCTTGACTCGGGTGCTTCCCGCTCTTTCTTTCGAGACCGCACCACGCTTACGCCGCTTAGTCGGCCGGTTGCAGTCTCCCTGGCGGACCCCTCTGGGGGTCCTGTCCTTGCCCACTTATCCATTGTTTTAAGGTGTCCGGCGGCCCCTTCTGGCTCCCTGTCAGGTCTTTACCTCCCCTCGTTCTCTACGAACTTGGTGAGTGGTGCTGACCTACAGGATGGAGGGGTTGACCAGTTCACTCCTGCGCGTCAGCGAGTGACCCACTGTACGTGTGCTCGGACGGGCCGACACTTGGCCACGTTTACCCGTCAGCCAGGGTCAAGCCTGTACACACTGACTACTGAGTCTCCACAGGTAGCTGCGTCGAGTCTGGTGTTTGCTGCAGCGTCCAGGTCTGGTCCTGAGTCTGCCCCCTGCTCGTGTCGTCTCCTGTCTCACCAGACTCTCCTCTGGCACCACCGCCTTGGTCACCCCTCCCTACCTCGTCTCCGAGGCCTGCCCTCTCGTTTCCTTGTCTCAGGTCTCCCTCGGTCCCTCCCTTCTCTTCCTCCGTGGCCTGCCCCCACCTGCCTTCCCTGCGTCGAGGGGCGGCAGCGCGCCGCTCCTCACTCCTCCGAGTTTCCTCCGACAGAGGCTCCGCTGCAGACGCTTCACATGGACGTGTGGGGCCCAGCCTGCGTCCGTGGACAGGGTCACGAGCGTTACTTCCTGGTGGTGGTTGACGACTACTCGCGTTACACCACAGTCTTCCCCTTGCGTAGCAAGGGTGAGGTCACTGAGGTGTTGATCGACTGGATCCGCGCAGCTCGTCTCCAGCTCAGAGAGAGTTTCGGCTCGGACTTTCCTGTCCTGCGTCTGCACTCCGACTGAGGAGGTGAGTTTTCCTCTGACCTTCTGCGAGCCTTCTATCGTGCACAGGGCATCCGCCAGACGTTCACGCTTCCGGCCTCTCCACAGCAAAATGGGATTGCTGAGCGCCGCATTGGCATGGTCATGGATGTCGCTCGTACGTCCATGATCCATGCGGCTGCTCCCCATTTCCTGTGGCCGTTCGCGTTTCGATACGCGGCGCATCAGATCAACCTTCAGCCACGTGTCTCCTTGCCGGAGACCTCCCCTACTCTGCGGTGGACGGGGAAGGTTGGCGATGCGTCTGCGTCTCGTGTCTGGGGATCTCGGGCTTTTGTCCGCGACTTGTCTGCAGACAAGCTGTCCCCCCGTGCTGTTCCCTGCGTCTTCCTTGGCTTCCCCCCTGACGCGCCTGGTTGGCAGTTTTACCACCCCACCTCGCGTCGTGTTCTGTCTTCCCAGGACATCAGGTTTGACGAGTCGGTCCCCTTCTACCGTCTCTTCCCCTACCGCACTACCCCGCTCCCCCCTCCGCCGCTCTTCCTCACGCCAGGTGTTGCATTGGTAGACCCCATGCCTCCCCAGGTTCCTGCTCCCTTAGGTGTTTCCCAGGTAGACCCGGTCGATCCTATCGAGGTAGCTATTGACTGTGGTCCTGCGCGAGGTACTGAGCGTGCTGAGCCTAATGGTGCTGGGTCTGGAGGTACTGAGCCTGGGGGTGCTGAGCCTGGGGGTGCGGAGACTGGGGGTGCTGAGCCTAGGGATACGGAGACTGTGGGTGCTGAGCCTGGGGGTGGAGAGACTGCAGGTGCTGAGCCTGGGGGTGCTGTTCTTGGTGGTGCTGGGTCTGGAGGTCCTGAGCCTAGGGGTGCTGCGCCTGGGGGCGCTCCCTCTTCCCAGCAGCTCCGTGAGTGGTACTCTTGGTACTGTCGCAGCCTCCGAGGTGCTGCTGGAGCTGGAGCTGAGAGCGCTGAGCCTACTAGAGTTGGTGTTGCTGCAGACCCTGGGGTGGGCGCTGGAGGTGCTGGAGCCTTTGTTCTTGAAGGTGCTCGTACTGGCGGTACTGGAGCTGCTGGGACTAGGGGTGCTGCTGGAGCTATTGGCGATGGTCCTGCTGGAGGTGCTGCTGGTGCTGCTCGAGGTACTGGAGCTGCTGGGCCTGGAGGTGCTCCTTGTGCTGGAGCTGCTGTCAGTGCTGGAGCTGGCAGTCCTGCTGGAGTAGGTGCTGCTGGAGCTTGAGCTGCTGGGGGTGCTGGTGCTGGAGGTGCTGCTGGCGCTGGTGTAGCCGCTGGGGGTACTGGTGCTGTCCCTGCTGTTTTTGGAGGCGCTGCGCGGCCGCGGCCGTACTTGGTTCCGCTTCTTGAGCAGGTTCTTGGTCTCCCCCCTTCTACTGGTCCTGCTCCTCCCTTAGAGTGTCCACAGCTTGACCAGTCGCAGTCACAGTTACAGCCTGCCTCCCCACTGCCTACTCCTTCTCCCTACACTGGTCCTACTGGAGGTATTGCTGAGCGTCGTGCGCCTGCGTCTCGTCCTGTGTCGCCTGTTCGTGCTGCTCGCACTAGTCGTCGTGTTCAGCGTCAGCGTCCTCCTGCGGTCCCGGGCACGCACCAGATGGCACCACGTCCTTCCACTGCTCCGCAGCGTGTCCCTTTGCCGTCTCCTCCAGAGTCCTGTCTTCATGCTCTTGCTGACCCAGATTTGGACGCTCTTCGTGCTGCGTCTCCTGGCTACTGTTTTCATTGACCCTTCCTTTGAGTCCACTGCTGCGTCTGCCTTAGTTGCTGAATTGGTCGACTTCGCTGCTCACTGTCGTCTAGACTACGCTGCTAGTCTTGTTGCTGAGTCTGAGTCTGTCTGTCCTCCGTCCGTCGGGGGTGAGTGTGCTCTTAGCACGGACGTTCTTGAGGACAGGCAGGAGGAGTTCCAGTGTTTTGCTGCTGCTTTGCCTCATCTCGTCTCCATGCTGATTGCCCTTGAGGGAGACCTAGATGCACCAGACATCCCGACTCCGCACTCTTACGCTGAGGCAATAGAGGATCCCTACTCCTCTTAGTGGCAGTCAGCCATGGACGCAGAGATGGCTTCCTGGAAGTCCACAGGCACCTACGTCGACGAGGTTCCCCCACCTGGGGCGAACATCGTCAGTGGCATGTGGATTTTCAGGGTGAAGCGGTGCCGGGTTCTCCGCCTGTTTTCAAGGCGCGTTACGTGGCTTGAGGCTTCAGTCAGCGGCAGGGAGTTGACTACTTTCAGACCTTCTCTCCCACCCCGAAGATGACCACTCTTTGGGTGCTGCTGCACATAGCCGCTCAGCGCGACTACGAGCTTCACTCTCTTGACTTCAGCACTGCTTTCCTGCAGGGCAGCCTGCACGAGGAGATCTGGCTGCGCCGCCCACCTGGCTTCACTGGGTCGTTTCCTCCTGGTACCTAGTGGAGCCTCCGGCGGCCACTCTACAGTCTCCGCCAGGCGACCCGTGAGTGGCACGACACACTGAGGACTACACTTGCGGCTCTTGGGTTTGCTCCTTCTACTGCCGACCCGTCGCTGTTTCTTCGTACCGACACCTCTTTGCCGCCGTTCTACATCCTCGTGTACGTCGACGACTTGGTCTTTGCTACTCCTGACACTGCTGGACTCGCCCACGTGAAGTCCGAGCTGCAGAAGAGACACACGTGCACAGACCTGGGTGAACTGCGCAGCTACCTTGGCTTGCAGATCACCCGGGACAGAGCACAGCGCACCATTACCCTGACTCAGTCACACATGGTGCAGCAGGTCCTTCAGCGCTTCGACTTCACGTACTCCTCGCCTCAGGCCACTCCTCTGTCTACTCGCCACTCGCTCTCAGCTCTGCCTTCGGATGAGTCCGTAGAGCCGAGTGACCCGTACCCAGAGCTTGTTGGCTGCCTCATGTACCTGATGACCTGCACTCGACCTGACCTTGCATACCCTCTTAGCATCTTGGCACGCTATGTTGCTCTTGGGAGACACCGACCAGAGCACATGGCTGCAGCGAAGAGGGTGTTGCGCTACTTGTGCAGTACGTCGGGCATGGGGCTAGTGCTTGGAGGGCGGCGTTCAGTGGTCCTCACAGGTCACGCAGACGCTTCTTGGGCTTACGACCAGGCTACGCAGCGGTCGTCACAGGGTTACACCTTCAGCCTTGGTTCCGGCTCTGTTTCGTGGCTGTCTACCCGCTCATCTTCTTTTCTCGGCTCCAGCTGTGAGGCCGAGATCTACGCGGGGGCCATGGCTGCACAGGAGCTACGCTGGCTCACCTACCTGCTGACTGACCTAGGAGAGCCGCCTCGTTCTCCTCCAGTTCTGTACGTAGACAACAAGGCCATGCAGGCCTTGTGTCGGGAGCACAGACTGGAGCACAGAACGAAGCACATTGCTGTTCGCTACTTTCTTGCTCGTGAGCTGCAGCAGCCTGGTCAGCTGCGCCTTGCTTACGTGGCCTCTCAGGCCAACACTGCTGATATCTTTACCAAGGCACTTCCGCCTTGTGATCATCAGCGCTGCTGTACGATGCTAGGTCTTGTGCCTACTTGGCCTCACCTGCTCACTTCTTGACCTTGCTTGTACTGTGATCTTTCTATACCTGCCCTTGCTTGTTTACCTTTATATATGATCTTGCATGTGAACTGGCCTTGTGGCCTTGAACTTGTGCTCGGAATGTGTGGTGACGTTGTGATCCACCCTGAGCTTGCTTTGCTTTGCTTGACTGGTCTTGTGACCTCTTGCAATCCGGCGCAAATCCACCCTGTCCGTAGTGTCAAACTTATATGCTATAGTCTGTGTAGGCTGTAGTGGGGTAGACAATATGGGGTACAACACTTTTAGGTTTTCCTACTTGTACCCATCTGTTTCCTAGTGCATTCATTTCCTCATTCTTTCACAAGGTGAGCACCTTGGGGGTAGCCATGACAGCAGCAGTAGCAGCAGCAACGGCATCGCGACTCGGCTAAAGGGGCGCGGCTCGGCAGGGCGCTTACCAGTGGGGAGTGGGTGGCTGCGACCGGAGTGGCAGGGCCAAGGTGCGCAGGCAGGGTCGGGGCCGCAACTGGGTAGCAGGGTAGGGCCGCGGCTCGGCTGCAGGTCAGGTCCGGGGCAGCAGGGACCGCAGCCGCGGCGGCAGCGCGCGACACCAGCAGGGCCGGCAGCTGCTGTGGCAGTAGGGACGGCGACGGCAGCTGCTGCATGGACGGTCGCTGCTGCAGGAACATGGACGACGGGGCGGGAGGGCCGCTACAGCGGCAGCTGCTGGTGAGGCGGCGACGACGGGACGGCAGGGCGGCGACAAAGGGGCGGCAGGGTGGCTACGGCGGGCCGCAAAGAGCCGCGAAGGGGGAGGGGGGGGGGCGCGAAAGCGCTGCCAAGGGGCCCGAAGGGGCCGAGAAGGGGCCGCGAAGGGCCGAGAGGGGGCCGTGAAGGGGCCGCGATGAGCCGTGAGGGGGCCGCCAAGGGCCGCGAAGGGGCCGCAAAGGGCCTTAAGAGGGGCCGCGAGGGGCCGCGAAGGGGTCGCGACAGGGCCGCGAAGGGGCCGTGAAGGGGCCGCGACGGGTCCGTGTAGGAGGGCCGCGAAGGGGCCGCTAAAGGGGCCGCAAAGGGGCCGCTAAGGGGCCGTGAAGGGGCAGGCCACTAAGGGGCCGTGAAATTTTAGGGCAGGACGCGAAGCGCGCTTTGGGCAGGCTAAAAAACAAAAATTCGAAGGTGGGCCCTTAGGAAGAAACGGTCCTACTAGGGAACCCGCTCTATACCATGTGAAGAATGAGGAATGAATTGACTAAGAATATGAAAGGTACAAGTATGAAACCCTAGAATATCTGTAGCCCCTATTGTGTACCCCACTACAGCCTATATAGGCTATATCATATATGTCTGACACGCATCGCAGACGACGACGAAGGATGTTTCTACGACTACGAAAATGATCACGACATGGAATATCACATCACCCCAAAGCTGGCCAATCTGGCCAAGACAAGAAAACAAGTCAACACGTGGTACTTGGACAGCTGCTGTGGACAGCACATGGTGTCTTCAGATGTCTTCATCCTCAACAGAGAGCGACTCTTCAACGAAGTCGAGATCACCGTCGCCAACAGCCAAACCATCTACGCCAAAAGCCGCGGACAAGCGCAACTGGAGTCACACGACAACGACTACTGTATCCACATAAGCAATGTTCTCATTGTGCCGGAACTCCGGTACAATCTCTTGTCACTCCACCAGCTGATGAAGTGCGGGGTTGGCCTGCAAATGATAGAAGACGAAATGCACTTAATACACAATGGCATATTAATCGGAAAGGCAACAAGTGTGGAAGGCGTTTTCGTGCTCGACTTCGAGTCGCGCAAAACCTCTGGCGACAACAAACACATCCTTGTTCTTGACCCTCCGGGCCACCCGTCGCCGCCAAGATGGAGCTGTCAAACTCTTATACTATAGTCTGTCTGAGCTGTAGTGGGGTAGACAATATGGGGTACAACACTTCTAGGTTTTCCTACTTGTACCCACCTGCTTGCTAGTTCATTCATTCCTCATTTCTTCACATGGTATAGAGCAGGTTCCCTAGTGGGAACGCTTCCTTGGGCCCACCACTAAAACCTTTTTTTCTGACCGGAGCGACAGCCGCCCCTAGCGGCCCCGTCGCCGCCCCTAGCAGCCCCGTCGTCGCTGACCTCCCAACGCGGCCCCGTCGCCGCCCCTACGCGGCCCCGTCGCCGCTCCTAGCGGCCCTGTCGCCGCTCCCCTCCCTACGCGGCCCCGTCGCCGCCCCTACGCGGCCTCGTAGCCGCCCCTACGCGGCCCCGTCGCCGCTCCTAGCGGGCAGCCGAGCCGCCCAGCAGCAGCAGCCGCCCATGGAGCAGCCGCCACTGCAGCAGCCGCCCCTGGAGCAGCCGCCACTGCAGCAGCCGCCCCTGGAGCAGCCGCCACTGCAACAGCCGCCCCTGGAGCAGCCGCCACTGCAGCAGCCGTCCCTGGAGCAGCCGCCACTGCAGCAGCCGCCCCTGGAGCAGCCGCCACTGCAGCAGCCGCCCCTGGAGCAGCCGCCACTGCAGCAACCGCCCCTGGAGCAGCCGCCACTGCAGCAGCCACCCCTGGAGCAGCCGCCACTGCAGCAGCCGCCCCTGGAGCAGCCGCCACTGCAGCAGCCGCCCCTGGAGCAGCCGCCACTGCAGCAGCCGCCCCTGGAGCAGCCGCCACTGCAGCAGCCGCCCCTGGAGCAGCCGCCACTGCAGCACCCGCCCCTGGAGCAGCCGCCACTGCAGCAGCCGCCCCTGGAGCAGCCGCCACTGCAGCAGCCGCCCTTGGAGCAGCCGCCACTGCAGCAGCCGCCCCTGGAGCAGCCGCCACTGCAGCAGCCGCCCCTGGAGCAGCCGCCACTGCAGCTGCCGCCCCTGGAGCAGCCGCCACTGCAGCAGCCGCCCCTGGAGCAGCCGCCACTGCAGCAGCCGCCCCTGGAGCAGCCACCCCTGCAGCTGCCGCGGAGCTCTCGCTCTACAGTGGTAGCGGCATCGCCATTGCCGCCGTCGTACGCGTGCCCTTCTCGCCACCGGTGAGCACTGCCCTACCTGTACTACTGTTACTGCTGCTCTTACTACTGCTGCTCTTTCTATTGCTACTGCTGCTCCTCGCGTGGCCAGATGCAGCTCCGGCATCGCCCGCGTGAGTCCCTCACCCCCCAACAGCTTCGTGAGTGGTACGCTAGTTGGGGTTGTCGGGGTGGCCGTAGTGGGAGTCGTCCTGGAGTGAGTCGTTCCGCAGCTGCTTGTAGTGGCAGGATGCAGGTCCAGCGTCGCCCGCGTGAGTCCCTCACCCCCCAACAGCTTCGTGAGTGGTACACCAGTTGGGGTTGTCGGGGTGGCAATAGTGGGAGTCGTCCTGGAGTGGGTAGTTCGGGAGTTTCTTGTAGTGGCCCGGTGCAGCAGCAGCGTTGTCCGCGCGAGACTCTTTCACCCCAGCAGCTTCGTGAGTGGTACGCTCAGAGTGGAGGGTCGCTGAGTACTGCTCGCTGCGTGTATGTTATTTGCACGGGTGTCCGGACTGATCAGACTTGCGGGACGCGTGGTCACACAGAGTCCCGCTGCTTCGCGCGTCTGGGCGTCACTTGGCGTACAAAGTTGAGAAAACTGAAACGAGAATGAGTGCACTAAGGAATGGAATGTGGTACAAATATGCAACCCTAGAAATGTGTACCCCATATAGGCTACCCATTCCACATGCAGGAGTACATATACCCCACTACAGCCTACAGAACATTATGATTTGACACACCCCCATAGGCAAAGTGGGGGAGAACAAGGGGTCACAAGACCAGTCAAGCAGAACAAAGCAAAGCTCAGGGTGGATCACAAAGTCACCACACATTCTGAGCACAAGTTCAAGGCCAAAAGGACAGTTCACATGCAGGAGCACATATATATATAAAAGGCTAAACAAGCAAGAGCAGGAGTATATATATGTCACAGTACAAGCAAGGTCAAGAAGTGAGCAAGTGAGGCAAGGAAGGCACAAGACCAAGCTGAGTACAGAAGCGCTGATGATCACAAGGCGCAAGTGCCTTAGTGAAGATATCAGCAGTGTTGGCCTCAGAGGCCACGTACGCAAGTCGCAACTGACCACGCTGCTGCAGCTCACGAGCAAGAAAGTAGCGGAGAGCAATGTGCTTCGTTCTGTGCTCCAGGCGCTGCTCCCGACACAAGGCCAGCATGGCCTTGTTGTCTACGTACAGCAGTGGAGGAGAACGAGGCGGCTCTCCGAGGTCAGTCAGCAGGTAGGTGAGCCAGCGAAGCTCCTAAGCAGCCATGGCTCCTGCGTAGATCTCAGCCTCACAACTGGAGCCGAGAACGGAAGACGAGCGAGTAGCCCGCCACGAAACAGAGCTGCAACCAAGGCTGAAGGTGTAACCCTGTGACGACCGCTGTGTAGCCTGGTTGTTAGCCCAAGAAGTGTCTGCGTGCCCAGTGAGGACCACTGGACTCTGCCCTCCAAGCACTAGCCCCATGCCCGACGTACTGCACAAGTAGCGCAACACCCTCTTCGCTGCAGCCATGTGCTCCGGTCTGTGTCTCCCAGGAGCAACATAGCGTGCGAGAATGCTAAGAGGGTATGCAAGGTCAGGTCGAGTGCAGGTCATCAGGTACATGAGGCAGCCAACAAGCTCTGGATACAGGCCACTCGACTCTACGGACTCATCCGAAGGCAGAGCTGAGAGCGAGTGGCGAGTAGGCAGAGGAGTGGCCTGAGGCGAGGAGTACGTGAAGCCAAAGCGCTGAAGGACCTGCTGCACCATGTGTGACTGAGTCAGGGTAATGGTGCGGCGTGCTCTGTCCCGGGTGATCTACAAGCCAAGGTAGCTGCGCAGTTCACCCAGGTCTGTGCACGTGTGTCTCTTCTGCAGCTCCGACTTCACGTGGGCGAGTCCAACAGTGTCAGCAGTGGCAAAGACCAAGTCGTCGACGTACACGAGGATGTAGAACGGCGGCAAAGAGGTGTCGGTGCGCAGAAACGGCGACCAAGCCATCTCTGCATCCATAGCTGCCTGCCACTGAGAGGATTAGGGACCC